GGAATCATGGGATGGGTTTGGGGATTTGGGAGTGGATTTTGGTCAGGGAATCATGGGATGGGTTTGGGGATTTGGGAGTGGATTTTGGTCACAGAATCATGGGATGGGATTGGGGATTTGGGAGTGGATTTTCTTCACAGAATCATGGAATGGGCTGGATTGGAAGGGACTCTTTCAGGTCATCTCATCCAACCACTGTGCAAGGAGACACCTCCCACTATCCCAGCTTGCTCCAAGCCCCATCCAACCTGACCTTGGACACTTCCCAGGGATGGAGAAACCACCAACCTCCCTGGACACCCCGTGCCAGTGTTCCACCACCCTCATCCCGAAGGATGGACCACCCTGATGGCACCAAGGCTGGCAGGGGCAGGACCTCCATGTCCCCACCTCACCTTTCCTGAAGGGAGTGAACTGGAAGCCGGGCAGGTACCGCCGGAGTTTGGCGTTGCTGGCCGTCTTCTTGAACTGCCCGTCAGCCTTGCTGGGGTCAAACTGGGATGGCAGGGATTAAGGAGGGAAAACGGGCGTTGCTTTGCCCCCACCGTGTCCTGGTGGAGCGTGGGATTCCCCCCCAGGAGCCCTCCCGGGTGAAGGATACGAGGAGCTCCCCCCGGAAATCCATGGCCTCCGCCACGGCCTCCGCCGCCTCCCGGATGGACACCTCGTCTTCTTCTCCCACTGCGGGGAAGGACGGGATCGTGGCTGTTCCCTCGTGGAGAGGGGATGGACAGGGGGAGGTCTGGGGGGGGAGGTTCACCTGACAAAATGATGGGCTCCACCTCGTCGTATTCCCGCAGGACCCAAAGGAAGAGCCGGGCCAGGTCCTGGGGGGAAGAGCAGACAACCCTTGGGGGGGTCACTGCTGTTCCCAGTGTTCCCATTCCCAAGGAACCCAACCCAGGACAAACCAGGTGGGCTCAGACCCCTCTGGGGTCCCATTCCAGCCTTTCCAGCCCCATTCCCTGCTTCCCAAGGCCCCACACACCAGGGAGTAGATGAGGAACTGTCTCCTGGCTTTGCCCTCCCATCCCAAGGGAACCAACCCCGAGGATGGCCCAGGACAAGCCAGGTAGGCTCAGACCCCTCTGGATCCCATTCCAGTCTTTCCAGCCCCATTCCCTGCTTCCCAAGGCCCCACCCACCAGGGAGTAGATGAGGAACTGTCTCCTGGCTTTGCCCTTCCAGCCCCATTCCCTGCTTCCCAAACTAGGGAATAGTAGATGAACTGTCTCCTGCTTTTGCCCTCCCATCCCAAGGGAAACAAACCCTGAGGATGGCCCAGGACAAACCAGGAGGACTCAGACCCCTCTGGATCCCATTCCCTGCTTCCCAAGGCCCCACCCACCAGGGAGTAGATGAACTGCCTCCTGGGCTTTCCCGTTCCCCACACGGTCAGAGCGGAGCCGGACTCTGCGGGAGGAAGGAGCACGGCCGTCACCACCTCGCGGAGCAGGTGGAGAGTTGGAAAACCCCTCCCAACCCCTCCCCCTTCCCCAAAAAACCCCCCCCAGGAGCGCTGCCACCCTCACGTTTGGCCAGGTGGACCTTGTGGATGAGCCCCGGCAGGACGTGGCCGTCCTCGATGTTGAAGTTGTCGTGCGGCCCGAAGACGTTGGTGGGAATGACGGCGGTGAAGCGCCGGCCGTGCTGCTCGGAATAACCCCTGGATGGCAGCGGGGGCGGGATATCAGCCACTGGAACGGCCCCACGAGACCCCAGCCAGCAGCACCTTCACCCGCCGATCCCAGGTATCTCTTCCCCAGCTTCCACCCCGGCGCCGTTTAAATCCCGGGAATCCCCACGGGATTCCCGTTGCCTTGATAACCAAGGGGTGCTTCCACCCTGGGAAGGGGCTCCCGCGTGTCCTTCCCTCACCTGTTCTGGATGTCAATCATCCTCTTGGCGTAGGAGTAGCCGAAGTTGGAGCTGTGAGGGGGCCCGTTGTGGATCTGGGAATACGGGAGCGGAGCGTTAAGCGGGGAAGGGACGTTCCCTGGAATGTCGTGCGGGGACGGGAGCGCTCACCATGGTCTCGTCGATGGGATACGTGGTCTTGTCTGGGAAGATGCAGGTGGAGAGGCAGGAGACCACCTTCTCCACCCCCATCTCGTGGGCCGAGTGCAGGACGTTGTCGTTGATGTGGATGTTTGTCCTCTGGGAAAGGAGAGATTTGTCGGGATTGTGGGATTTGGGAGATTCCCCAAATCCCTTCGGCGCCCGGCGAGCGGCGGCTCGTTAATAACTCCCGGAGCCACCGGAGCTCTTGGCTCTGGAAGCAGAACGAGCCCCCCTATCCCTGTGTCCCCATATCCCCCATCCCGGGGATCCCGACGGTGCCGGTTTTCCGTGTGCTCACCCAGAAATCCAGGTTGGAGCGGATGTTCTTGAAGAGGCCCCCGACCATGGCGGCCAAGTGGATGACGTGGGTGGGCCGGTGCCTCTCAAACAGGGCCTTGGTCTCGGAGCTGCTCCTGGAAGGGGAAATTTGGGAGCTCGGGGGGGGTCAACGGAGCAGGTCGGGGCGTTTCCGAGGGAAAAACCCCATCCTGGGATGGGAATCTGAGGAAAAACCCAATCCTGGGAGGGGAATCTGAGGAAAAACCCCATCCTGGGAGGGGAGTCCGAGGAAAAACCCCATCCTGGGAGGGGAATCCGAGGAAAAACCCCATCCTGGGATGGGAATCCGAGGAAAAACCCCATCCTGGGAGGGGAATCCGAGGAAAAACCCCATCCTGGGAGGGGAATCCGAGGAAAAACCCCATCCTGGGAGGGGAATCCGA